GAACTGTGTGACCTTGAGTAAGTTCCCTAACTTCTCTGAGCTTCAGTTTCCTCATCGTGAAAATGCCTGTCATAAGATTTGCCCAGGAGCGATGGAGTTCAACCCAACAATGCCATGGTGGTCACAGACCCTGGGTTAGCGCCAGGAGGACACAGGGCCGAGGGCCCTGCCCCAGATGCCCGGGCTCAGCTCTGAAGCCTGGCTTCAGGTTTTCCAGCTGTTGCTTTTCTCCCCAATCCCCTCTTCCTGAGCTTTCTTCAAACGCATCCATAGGCAGCTGAAAGGTGCACGAGTCTGTTGAGAAACCCGGTCCTCTGCAAACTTACTGGGATCCGGTGACCTAGGGACCTGAAAGACCCTCCTCAGCCCACTGCCATCCTCTCCCCGACAACAGAGGCCCTGGCCTACTGCTGAGTTTCTTTCAGCCCTTAACGAGCTCCTAGCCCTCTACTGGGCCCCAACAGGAGACCTGTAGTCCACGGGGTTCTGATAGAGGCCCACAAAGCTTTTGAGGGGAGATGAGCTCCCTTGGCCAAGGGTGTACAGAAGTCAGGGTGCACAGCCAGACTTGGCCGCTTCCTGCCTGACCCAGACTGCATTTGCACAAGCAGCTCAAGGCAGTGGGCCTGCTGGGCAGGTGCTTGGCTCAGGGCCCCTGGGCTCCCCAGGTGGATGCCTTTCCCTCTTAGGAATCTGGACTTTTGAACGCCAAATGACAGGCATGAGCCTTCATCTCTCGGGCCCCTTCACTGTGCAGAGCAGGAAACTGGGACCCTGAGTGAGTGAGTGCCCTGGGCAGAGTTTATTCTCCATCTGTCTCCTGGCCCGTACAACAGTCTGGAAAGGCTTCTTTCCGAGAGGAAGGCTGGGGTGGAGGGGGAGTGATGGGGGCGAATGTCAGGTGGAACATTCAGGTGGTGACGAGAACTCTGATATGTAGGGATTTGGAGAGTGAGCTCAGAGTGTGAGTGTATGGAGACCAGCCAGACCGCAACTAGGCTTGTGTGGGTCAGATCTTGATTTACCTCTCAGCATGGAGCCCCTGGTCTCCATATTTTGTCCTCACTTCCCCCTGCTCCTATCTGTGGCCGCTTGTGCTTTTTTTGGGGCCATGGAAGTCCTAAACCCAGCCTCAGGAGAGGACTCTGGGAGCCACCCCCAGGGAAAGGCGGCCAGCCAAGTGGGTGAAAGTGGAACAAGGCAGGCAGCTCGGTGGAGCCCTCAGTCTCTGGAGCAGCAGCAGGCTGTTGACAAGCCCAGCCAGCCAGAAGCAGAGGGCTGTTTACTCTCAGTTCTTTGGAAGTCCTGAGTGTTCCTATCACTTAGGGGAGCTGCTCTGGAGAAGAACAAACCTCATCTCAGGTCCCAGGCCCAAGGCTCTCTGGGCAAGCAGAGGCAGGGGGTGGGGAGTTCAGTGGAGAGAGCTTAGTCAAGCCTGGCCTAGAACTGGGCATGCCCTGGAGAGGTGACTGACCCTACTTCTACTCAAGACGTACTTCCCCTAACTCCCTGCTTGGAGTGGGGTCTGAGGAGAGCAGTCTGCTCTGCAGTTGACATCAGCCCTGGTCCTAGCTGAATTTCATTTGAACTTTCCGGTAGACTGAGGAAGCCAACAGACGCTCTTAGCTTCCTAGAAGCAGAGAGAGGAAGTATCTTTCTCCGAATGAGTGGGACAGGAGAGACTGCGCCACAGACTAGGATTCCTTCCTCTCTACCCCACTGCCACGACTCTGTGCAGTGTCCCAGCGAGAACCTAGAAGCAGGGTTGCTGACTCATAGTGACCCTGTAGGACAGGGTAGACTGCCTGGATGAGTTTCTGGGAGTTTACGGGAATAGAAAGCTGCCCCATCTCTCCCAAAGAGCAGCTGGTGGCTTCAAACTATGGACCTTTGGGATCACAGCCCAATGCATAACCACTATGCCTGCAGGGTGGTTAAATAAGGGAGTCTCCATCTACCACTCTCCTGGGATCAAGTGACCCATTCGGGGTACTGTCTGAGAGCTGAAGTCCAGGGAACACAGTGACGTGGCTCAGATCCCATTTCAAACCAAAGAAGAGGGTTGGACGCTCCTGGGAGGAGAGGCTGCATCACAGGGACCTGGCCATAGAGCAAGCCACGGACCTGGATAAAGTCCATGGTTTACAGAGCACCTCCTGTAGCATTATCTCCTCATCCAGATCCCTATTGGCAGAGGAGGAGACAGGGCCCCTGAGGAGAGGGGGCCATCAGAGCAGAGAGAGCAGTTGAATGGGACAAGCTAGTCTGTCCAGCCCCTCCTGGGTTAGCAACCCTCCTGAGGAAAGAATCCTTTAAATGAGTCCAGGTGTTAATTAAGCCCTATTGAGGTCAACAAAAGCCAGCCAGATGCTGCTGAATGTGTCCCCTGTCTTTCCACACCCCTGCCCTGCCCTGCACACCCAGAGTCGAGCCCTGTCCCTGTTCTGGGCCCTGCAGATAAGGCCTCCTGGGTCACTGGGTCCAGGTATGCATGCTGGGAGGCTTGATGAGCCAGCCCCACTCCATTTCTCTCCAGTATAAATGTGGCCCGGCCAGGTGCAGGCCTGTGCTCGGACTGTCACCCTATGGGGAATGGCCTCCCCTGAACCCCAGCTCTATTGGAACCTCCTTCCGACCTGCCTACTGCTTACTACGGGTTCCTTTCCCAGTGCTCCCGTGTCATCTCTGTGATGGCTGAGTAGGTTAGTGTGCATCTACCGTGTGTCCTTTGTGGAGGAGCAGACAGTAGGCTCCTGAAAGGTTTAGTCAATCACTGATGGAGGTATGTTTCTGGTCATTTTACAAACCCAGGTATGTGGTCCTTCTAACCATGGAGTTCAAGACCCACCTCTGTCTCCAAAGCAGAGACCATTTTTTCCCCCTGGACCTGGGGAAATAAGCCTGGTTACAGGGCTTGGGGGAGAAGGCCACGCTTCAACTTGTTTCCCCATCGGGCTTGGCAGTCCAAGCTGGCAGTTCCCTGGTCCCTCTTCAGTGTAGGGCTATGGCCCAGAAAGCCCAGCTGCAGGAGAGCCAGGGACTAGATTGAAACTCCAGGTTCCTGTTCTCTTGGCAGTTGCTGGGAGCACCCAGGGGCTCCAAGTGCTGCAAAGGCCCTGAGAGGACATGACCTGGCCAAACACTGGACCTAGAACGAGGGAATGAGCTGTTTGCTGCCAGAGACAGCCTCCTCCCCACCCCCTAGGTCACTGGCTGATCTAGCTATCATGCCCTCTAGCAACACCAAGGGTGGGGGGGGGCAATAGGCAGAGCCTGGCCTAAGCTATAGGGGCTTCAGGGATTGTCCCTTTTGGGTCCTGGCCTTACCTAGAGGATAGGGAGGTGGATCTTCCCGTCTGAGCCCAGCCCTACCACTGCTGAGGACACTGAGTGCCCGCTCAGTCACACACCCCTTGGCATTTAGAATTCCAGAATGGAGGAGACCCTGGAGGCTGCACCTTCCCCCCTTTGTACAGGGAGTCCGATGCCCAGGCTGCCAGACAGGGACGCCCAGCGGGGAATCCCATGTCACATTCTGGCTGGGTCTCTAAACTCCGGGTAGGTCTCTTTCTCCCCTGCTTACCGGTGAGCTTGTGAAGGTCAGAAGCCGAGTTGTGTTCATTTGTCTTCCTCTCACCACAAACCCACACCCACTGCCATCCAGTCTGTTCCAACTTACAGAGATCCTATAATGAGGTGGCTGAGGCTGAATAGCTTTACAGGAACAGCAAGGAGCCTCAGCTTCCGAGGAGTAGCTGGTGGATTTGAACCTTTGACCTTAGCAGTCCAGTGTCTGCCAGATGGCACCACAGGATAGGCTCCTATAGTAAACCCAAAACAAACTCACTGCCACTGAATCCATTGTGACTTATCGGAACCCTGTAGGTTGCTGAGGCCGGAATCTCTCTGAGTAGAACATCTTTCTCCCAAGGAGCAATGGGTGGGTTCAGATTGCTGACCTGGTTAGCAGCCCAGCACATAACCCACTGTGCCACCAGGGCTCCCAGACGCTTAGAGTAGACCTTAACCATGTTAAAGAGGAGATGACTAAATGCTAAAGATCCCCAAGCAACTCTGGTGATTTTCCCCTGACCAGGCCTCAGTTTACCATCAGTAGAAGTACGGGGAGACTTGGGGAAGCACTAGTCTCATCCTTTAGGGTCTCCACCAATTTTTTCTCAGTGCTCAGAGTGGTACAGTACCCCATCAACTGGTGACTAGGTTAGTTCATGGGATTTGGGGTCAAGAAGCGATAGGTAATCTGTCTGCAGAGCTGGCTGTGTGGCTGTGAAATCAGCCAGCTCTGCCAGGACTGGCCACTCCTGGCTCCTCTCGACACTGCCTCTTCCCCAGGGCCCTTGCTCTCAGGCAGCTGGTTTGGGTTGGGGCTGGAGACCGGCACAGAATAAATGCACAAGAATGGGTGGAAGGAGTGAGTGAGTAATGGAGGACCACGATGCCATAGCCCAAAGGCAAGCCCCTGAATGGTGGAACTAATGAGATGCTGTTGACCGGAGACAGGTCTGGTAGCAGGACATTGTATGTCTACTTGTGGCCTCACGTCACCTGGCAGCTCCAGGGACCCCAAAACCCCGGGTGTCATACAGAGAAAGTATTATGGGAGTCGATTTCGTCCCCACGGTGTTACAACCCAGAGAACAAATGACTTGTCAAAAGTCGTGCCACAAGAGAAGGAGCGAGGCTTCAAACCTGCCCTGGCTGCGACTGCCCAGCCTTCTCTAGAGGCAGCATCTTAGGATGGAAAGGGTGCAGTTTTAGGACCAGACAGCGGCCATTCACATGAAGCCTCTGAGCTCAGAGTGTTGTGCCCACCTCAGGGGCCAAAATGAGAGTGAAATAAGGTATGTAAGTATATAAAAGTATTGTGTAAACTAGGGAGCTCAAACATCATAGTCAAAGAGCCCAAAGACGAGAGGACTCAGACTGATCTGGTGATGGTGCCATACCGAGGATAACCATGCTGACTTCTTCCACTCCAGGACAAAGGGGAGGTCCCCAGGGGAGGAGCCCCACCCCACAGACCCTGTCGCCCCAGACCGACCTCGCTGCCTCCTGATCTGCCTGAAGAAGAAAGTCGCAGGATTGCACGGATATTCTCTTCCCAGTGCTCCAAGAAAGACTAATGCAACCATTTAAGAGACTGAGGAAAGGACCCCCTTGCCGCCCTCCTTCAGCCTGGTCCAGCGTGCGGGAGGCTCCAGGGCTGCCATCACACCGAAGTCACCACCAGCCTCACCCACAAAGACCCAATCAACCCAGGCTGAAGGAACGGTGCAACCCAGCCCTGTGCCCACCTACCAGGACTTCAGCACCTTCCTCCCATGGTGAGGCAAAGGCTAGGCAGCATAGATCCGAGCACTCCAGGGCCCCCTCATCTCTGACCAGGGGCTCAAGCAGGCTTCTTTCTGCTGAGGAACATCCTCCAGTGTCCTTGTGTGGACCACCCACCTCGGCCTGCGACTTCGGAGCCTTTTTGCCTTTAAAGGATGGGTGATGGGCCAAGTATCCATAGTGTGCATCATACGTAGCTGAGGCCACCTCCACTTCACCGTGTGGGAATGAGGATTTTTATAGATAGAAATTATTTGTATGCTGTATTGAATTAATCAATAGGGAGGTTATAACCTCCATCAACTTTTTATCTGATTGTCTGCAATTCTAACCATGCTTTTAACTTAATTGTTTTTACCCTGCTCTGAGAAGCATTATTCCTACCTGTGTTTGAATAAAATCATATTAGCATTTGTATTCTGTGTACAAGGGTTTCCCGGGCTGGCCATTTTTTCCCCCTGGACCTGGGGAAATAAGCCTGGCCCTGTGGGAAGAGGGAACAGGAAGAATTCATTTGGACCCCGACTGCCAGAGAAAGCTCGACAAGCTGCCACTGTCTGTCTGGGAGACGGCCTCTAGAACAGGAGACCCAGGCGACCCTGCAGCTTCAGAGCCCCCCCATTCTGGAAGGGGTCACCCCACCTTCAGCTGTCCAAACAGAAGCATCGGGCAGTGGCCTGTGGGGGCACATGGGGCCCTGCCTCCAAGAGGTACTCAGGGTGGTGGGGAGACAGTGTTGGGAGGAAACGAAGCCCCGCGTCTCACCCCCAACCATGTGTTACTTCATTTAGTCCTCAACACAACTCCGTATCAAGACGCTATGATCCCATTTTATGGTTAAAGAAGCAGAAGCTCAAATACGTAACTTGACTGTTCATGTGACCAGGAAGTGAACTGCCCCAGAGATGTCACCAGGCTGCTGCTCAGTGACCAAGCGGCACAGTCAGTAAATGCTCCAAGTTGGGGGAAAGGAGAGAGCACTGTCAAGGGACAGAGTTCACAGGGTTCTCCGAGTGGGCCAGTGTAGGTCTGCCCCTCAGGCTCAGTTCCCCCTTGTGAACGTCCAGTGCCTTGGAGGACTGTAAAACAGACAGCCCCAGCCTCGCAGAGCTGTGAAGATTAAATATGACTTGTAAAAGTGCTTCGTCAGCACTTGGCTCACAGAGGAAGGCCTTGGGAAATGTCAGCCTGCTCCACCCTACTCCCCCCACCCCCACCCCCTAGCTCTTGGAGATAAGCAAACACAAATACGTTAACTGTAAAACAAGGCAGGGCATGCCCTGTGCCCTCAGGTTACCAATGACCCTGGAACAGAAGCAGGAGGGATGCCTGCCCTCAGTTCTGCTCTTCACCCCTTCCTCTGCTCACCTGTTTATCTCAACTCCTTAGCTTCAGCTAGGATGCTCTTAACTCCCCCCACAGGACTTTGCATGAGGCCACCAAGATCCCACAGTGGGGGTTGGAAGCCGAGGCCTCAGGAGAAGTCTCATGCTCCCAAATCCTGCTCCAGCTCCTGTAAGTAACCTTCCCTGGGTCACGCCAGGAGAAGGCCCCTGCAGGACATGGGCTGCTGCTTGCCAAGGCCAAGGGCAGCCTCAGATGCCACAAAGGGACCCCAAGAGGCTGGAACCCACCACCTGCCATAAGCTTCCAAGGAGTGGATTCTGTACTGATGACCTTCTCTCTACCAGTCCCGGCTCAGAGGTGAAAGGACTTTCCCAGTGCTACTGCAGAGGTGGAAGTGAGGAGGCAGAAGTCTGCTCCCCCAACCAAGGAACCAGCGCCGCCAGCCCTCCTTCCCTGGGAGCTCGCAAATAGTTGCTTCTGGTCATCAGACCCTGGTTGCCTCTGAACCCGCAGCAACCCAACCTGGAACTTCTGACCGTGAACTGGGTTTTAAGAACAGGGATCCCAAAGGGACAGCTGGCCCAGGCCCCAAGTGGCAGTCAGCAGAGTCCTAGATTCCTCCAGGCAGGCTGGAGCGTCCCCGTCTGGGGAGGGAGAGAGGTGGTGGGAATGCAGTATCCCAGCAGCGGAACAAGAGAAGAGAACACGGAGGCCACAAACCCCCTGAAGAGCCAGTCTCAACGCTTGGCCTTTGGGACCTCACCCACCCCAAAGATTCCCTCCCAGGGCCGAGCCCATCTCGTGGGGCCCCACTGAGGGTGTCACAGCTTTGGGAGGATGTCTTCTGGCTTCTGGGACCAAACAAAGATCCCAAGATGCAGATACGAGTGTCTGCCTCGTACTGCCCAGAGCCAGCCCCCACATGCAAGGACTGTACCACAGTGTAGAGGCCAGTGTGCGACCCTGGAGCCCGGCAGTAGTGGGGCAGGAGGAGGGATCTCTCCTGCACTGGGCAGCTGAGAGCTCTGGGGCAAACAACGGTGCCCTCAAGATCCAGCACACACACAAGACCTGCTAGAGGTGCATGCTTGTGAGGAGGGCAAAAGCTGCTCAGGTTTCACGTGTGTGGGACTCACCTAGACAGTGGTTCAAATGGCTTCTTGGCCCATCGTCAGAGTCTGGTTCAGCGGGTCAAGATGGCAGCGTATGAATTGCATTTCTAACCAGCTCCCAAGGATATCAGTGCAATCACTGGGATAAGGGACAGTGCTGAAAAGCACCCCGCACCTCACACAGCAGATGCTCCATGAATGGTCAGGCACCCACAAGACAAAACCTTGGTGTCCACAGCCAACATTCAGTACCTAGCCCTCCACTCGCCACACCTCTTCATGCCGCTAGCTAACCAGCACCTCCCACGCCGGCTGCTGCCCCCTTGTTGGGGTTCCTACCATGTACCCCTCTTTGCACATCTGCATGGCCTCCTCCCCTGATAGTTGACCCCACCACTGAGTTGTTCCTGGTTGAACCCAGAGGCCACTTCCTGTGAGGAGCCCTCCCCATCTCAGCAGCAACTTGGTGCAAGCTCCTGTCCTGCAGACATACCAAGTAGGACCCGGTCCAGGGAACAGCCCCAGCACAGCCCAGGCTTGGCATTGGAGTGTGTGCACAAGGCCAGAAATGCCACATCTACCCTCCCTCTGCCTCAGCCAGTTCACCTCCTCTCCACCTGCCTCCCACTGTAGCCTGGGTCCCAGGGTTAGGCAGCCCCAACCTTGCCCTCAGTACCTAAGACCAGGGCCTGGCCCTCCCCAGGCCACCCGCACACACGCTCCCCCAGCTCCCTTGGGCTCTGGCCATGTCCAAGCTGAAGCCTCCAAGGTTCGGGTCAGAGCACTCAGCGGAAAGACCCACAGAGCAGTTCCCCATCCACCGCAGGCCCTCCCGTGTAGGAGCTGTCTGACCTGGCCCAGTCACTGTCCCTCCCCACCCCCCCAGCCTCAGCTCTCTCCTCTATGAAACCAGCAGTAAGTTTAGGATGCACGGCAGCACAGAGGACCAGAGGTGCTACATCATGGGTAAACCTGAACCCTGAAAAGAAGTGAAAAAAGCCTGTCTCAAAAGACCACGTCCCATAAGGTTCCACCTGCATGGACTGTCCAGACACACAGATCAAGAGACAAGGCAAACTGGTGGTTGCCAGGGGCTGGAAGCAGGAGGACTGGGAAGTGGCTGCGAATGGGTCCAAGATCTCTTTGGGGCACGAGGAAAATGTCTTAAAATTGATGGTGGTGATGGCTGCGAAGGTTGAGAAAGCATGGACTGTCTGTTTAAATACGAGACTTGTATGGCATGGGCATCTTGCCTCCATAAAGCTGTCATCTTCAGCCCTTTAGAATCTAGTAGTAGCTCCCTCGACCAAGGGGCACATGAGAGGCAGCCCACCGTGACGACAGCGAGGAGGCCCTAAAGTAGCCCTGCCCAGCTATCATGGGAGGCCTTGGTCTTTGGACTCTCCACGGGGACAGGTCCACCTGCTTCCTCATACACTCTTGTCACCTGAGGTAGCTCTTCTTTCAGCAGCTTCAAGGAGCTATTTTAAAGAGCCCCAGGTCGGGCGAACTGAACCAGATCTGAAACTCACTGACCTTTCCCCTCGCCTCCCTGCCCCTCACTGGCCACCTCTTGTCAAGTGATGTGGGCTGTCAACTCGCCTTTCCAGGATAAGGTTTCAGGTCAGCTGGGCTGTATAAAGATCAGTGCCAAGGCAGAGGCAGCAGAGGGAACAGTGAATGAGGGATGGTCAGCTCCCTGCTGCTGCCCTCCCGGATGGAGCAATAAGAAGCCGTAAAGACCCCTCTTTTCCTTTCTCTCAGACTGGACTCAGGTAAGACCCCACTCTCTTCTTTCGCTCTTTCCCTTCTCCATACTCCCATCCCCCCACCACCTCCCACCCCCGGTTGGAGCAGCCTGGAGCTGCGGGACCACTAGCCACTGTGGGACAGAGCTAATGTTCAGTCCACCCCCACTTGTCAGGCTGAGGGAAGTGCAGCCTTAGTGAGAGGCTTGGGTCCAATGCCTGCCACCTACTGTACACAGACTCCCCTCACTCTGCCGGCTGCCTCTGCTGCCATTTCTTTGACAAGCCCCTGTTAATAAGAAGGGAGGTTCTCCTTGGGCTGACCCAGAAGCCTCAGGGTTCCTCCAGAGCTTGGTGCCCAGTGCCCTCCCCCCCTGAGGGCCCTGGCTTGGCCCCCTTTCCAAAGGAGGGCAGTGGCACTTGGCCCAAGTTGTACACTAACGCGGTCCCCTCAGCAAGGGTGCTGTAGAAGCTTGGCTAGGAGGGTTGGGTCAGTCGGGGGGCCAGGGGGCAACCTGAGTGCCAGGCAAGATGTCTCAAGATGGACCGTCTGGGCCCTGCTTCAGAATCAGAACTACCTGGGGAACTTGTTTCTGACGGGGGTTCCTGGACTCCAGCCCAGACTGGAATCGGGATCTCTGGGCTGCGCGTAAACAAGCAGCTCAAGGGATCCTGAGGCTCTGACGGAAGCCTGCTGGGCAGTGGAACGGGCACAGCTCCTAGTGTCGGACAGAGCTGAGCTCCAGGCCCAGAGCTATCACTTCAGCTGTGAGACCAGCGGAATCCCCGGCCTTCCATCCTTTGTGACGAAGTGAAAACCATATCGCCTGACAAAGGGATTGAAGGAGGCCAGGCCTGTCAAGTCTCTGCACGGTGCCTGGTATAGGAAGTCCTCAGACAATTCACAGGCACCACTCTGCCCAAAGCCAGGCTGGCGGGAACATCGCACCCCTGCACCCCTCCCGTGCCCAGCAGAGCAGTTGGTTGAGGAGCCACTGGCCAGTGGCTTCTGTTCTGGAGAGGAACAAGAGCCCTTGCCCATGCCCACCATCGTGCCTTGTGCCCCATCCATGTGCCCAGTGGAAGGCCCAGGGCCCCTTAGGCGTGGTTTTCTCCCGAGCTCATATCCATCTACCCCTGCCCTCGGGTAGGGCAGGGCTCAGAGCAGCCCTGGAAGAGGCTCCAGTGCCGCTGGTCTGGCCTCCTTCCCCATTCCCATTTACCCCACAGACGACCAGCTGTCCAAGTTCAGCCACCAGCAGGGCAGCTCTGGCGCCTCTGCCTAGGAATAGGGATCTGCAAGGGGTGTGTGAGAGAAAGAGACTTCAGAACCTGCTGGCTCACCTGCCACCAACAAGCTGGGCCACAGGTCCATCGTGTCATCCCTGGCCTGTACACCACCAGCCACTTCATGTTCCCTACCAGACTGAGGGACCCCAGCATTCAAGCATGCCCAAACCCCTGCGGTGGATTCTAATCTTGTGTCCCGGTGAGTGGGGTCACTAGACAGCTGATCCTCCTTGGGCCACTCTGAATGCCAGCCTTTTAGCAGAGAAGCAGGATGAGTCGACCCTGCCCCTGCTTTGTGGGCCCCATATCTGGAGGGTGACCAAGCTAATGCCACCAGGAGGTCTGGAACCCAAAATGGGTTCAGAGGAGAAGTCCCACCTGCCTGCTGAGCCCTCTGGCCTGGGAACAGGCTCCCACGGGAAGTCAGGTCCTGCCGCAGCAGGAGGCAGAGCCCGTGCAGTGACCCCTGTGGGGCCTGGCACAGGGCAGTCATCCCACGCCAGGTGGCTTGGACCACAGGATGCCCTGGAGTCACACAGCTCTGCGTAGGAATCCACCTAGACTGTGGCTTGTTCTGGGCCTTAGTTTGTTAACTGGTGGGGTTCTTCTGGGAACAGTATTCTCGTACTATGGCACAGAGGTTAAATTCTCAGTTCCTAACAGAAAAGCCACCGGTTCAAATCCAGCAACCACTCTATGGGAAAAGATTTGACAGTCTCCTTCGGGAAAGAGTTACAGCCCTGGAAATCCCATAAGGAGGTTCTACTCTGTCCTCTAGGGTCTCTGGGTTCAAATTCTACTCAAAAGCCATAGGTCTAGGTTTGTGGGTAGAGGATGTGACTCTAGTGGAGCTTGGTTAGGAACCCTGGGGGGCAGTGCTTAAGCACTCAGCTACTAACCAGTGGTTTCAACCCATCAGCCACTCCACAGAAAGAGGACCATTGAGGAAACCCAAGGGGGCCGTTCTGCTCTGTCCCATAAGGCTGCTCTGACTCGGAGCTGACTCAACTGGTGTCCCACTACAGCCCGAGAGCTTGGAGACCCTCAGACGAAGCTCCCAAAAGTCTCCTGCACCATACCTCTGAGGGTCAGATTCTTAGATTCATCATGCTGACATTCTGAGCTTCCCCAACTCACTACACAGGAGGGGAAGGGCTGTGGAGGTCTCTGGAGAGTCTGTCAGGGCTTGGAAAAAGAGAAGCCAACAGGACGTGGGCATTAGGAAAGGCAGCTGCTTGAGTTTCTCCTCTCTTGTACACACGTACACACACACACACACACACACACACACACTGCAGATCCCAACCTCTAGGCAGAGGAACCAGAGCCTCCCTGCTGGTGGCTGAATGTGGACAGCTGCCCTTCTGTAGGACAAAGGGGAGTGGGGAAGGAGGCAGGCCGAAGGATGGCACTTCCCTTGGGTTGTTCCCTCAGGGAGGCAATCTGGAAACTGGGAAGACGGCTGTGGAGAGGGAGCTGGGGCCTGACTGCTGTCGTGTACAAGTTGGAGCCTTTCAGGGCCAGTTTTCTTTATTGACCCCAAGAGGTGCTGATGCTCCCCCAGCCTTCATCAGCATGACTTGGTTTCGTGTGCTTGCCACTTAAATTCTCATAGAGGAGCTTTGCATACATTTTAGTAACTGCAGAGGGCTTTGAATATGCTCGATAAAAGGCAAGATCATGGTACCCATAGTAACACCTTGCCAGGGCCCCTAGAAGGAACAGTGACATCAGGAGTGTTGAGTTGGGCACCATGACTAGGCCAGTCCCTCCCCATGTTGACCATCTGGCTTCACAGCTGTGAGTTGGATGTAAAGGCTTTTTTGAGCTTCATTTAGTAGAGTGGACCGAGGCTTCAGCCCCAGAGGCAGGTCTCCCCCAGCACATTAATGTCGCTGACCCTCAGTCTATGCATCCAAAGTAGGGGGAAAGGCTGGTCTAACAATACACACAGACCACCGGAAGATGACTGAGAGCCCAGCGAGAAGCCATACATCTGGGGTGAAATGATTTTGACAAGGGTGCAAAGTCCATCCGAGGGAAAAAGAAGAGCCTTTTCAATAAGTGAACATTGGAAAATTGGATGTCCACATGCAGAAAATAAAAGAAGACCCTGGCCTCATACCACACAGCAAACAAGCAAGCAAACAACAACAAAGTCAAGATGGACTGAGGACATGAGTGTGCAGAGTAAAATTACTAGGGGAAAAAAGTAGGGTCCCAGGGCAGCTATCTTTCAGAGCAGTTGTGAGAATTAAATAAAACTCTGAGGGCCCCATGGCCCAGGGCCATTCCCTCCTCCTCCTCTGAGCTTCAGCCGTGGCCATTCTCCCACATCAACCCCCCTCCCCGCCCCTCCCTCCCCGCACGTAACAGCCTTCCTCACTGCTCCAGCTGTTGACATCTGCCTACTTTTTAAGGCCTGTCATCTTCCCGCCCCCCACATGACACAGCTCAAACACACTCAGGCTATCGAGTCGATGATGACTCATAGTGACCCTATAGGACAGGGCAGAACTGCCCCTGTGGGTTTCCAAGACTGTAACTTGTTACAGGAGTGGAAAGCCCATCTTTTTCCTGTTGGAGCAGCTGGTGGTTTCAAACTGCTGACCATGTGGATCACAGCCCAATGCCACCAGGGCTCTTCCCCCCTACTTGAAGTTGCTCATATTCCATCTCAACCGAGGGTCAGAGAAAGGTCTCTCCCTCCGTAGAGTGCCCTCCTGATTGTCCCTCCCCTCTGACATTGATCACAATTTGCATTTCAGTCTTTGGTGGATGTGTCTAAGGCCCCCTGGCAAGGTCCTTGAGAGTCCCGGTGGGCAGGTCCACTGAGATTTTTTCCGCATCTCCAGATTTCTCAGGGTGCCAGGCTCAGAACCTGGCAGGGGGTGGTTCTCACCAGTGTGGGCTGGTTTTAACGGAACTGAATGCTTTAGCACCTCAAGGGAATGAGTGAGCACATAAATGGATACAGTGTGAAGGGGCGCTTCCTGCTAAACCACACACACACCCCGCCACACCCACCCCATTCACTCTTTCAGCACACCTAGCTGCTGTTCTCAACACGGAGAGTACAGCAGTGGACAGACCAAGGCCCTGCTCCCAAGGACAGTGCATCCGAGTGCGAGTCAGGCAGTAGGCCCCTTAAGGGCCACCAGCACTGTGAAGATGGGCAGAGGAGGCTGGGAGGACAGAGTACGGAGGAGTGGTGAGGTGACACTTGAGAACCAGAAGGAAGTGCGGAAGCAAGTATCTGAGAGAATCGAGTGTCTGCCTGCTCCAAGCCAAGGGCATCCCTGGGGCTGAGACTCAGCGCCGGGGAGACAAGTTAGGAAAGGGCTTTGGACTCTGTTCTGACAAAGCAGGGGAGCCCTGGGACGGGTTTAAAACAGGTGGGCATGCATGACCTGGCATGCATTCTTGGGCACCCATGGCCCAGAGGCAGAGTGGTAAGTGTTGAGTCCGGAGGAATGTTTATTGCATTTACTGCGGATAACAATCTAAAGTGAAGAGTGACACTTGGCCCTCCGGGACACAGGAGCAAAGGAGGCTTTTCCCAGGAAGCAGCTTGAGGCTGGGGACAGAGGACCTGGGATTTGAAGTCAGAACCTGGGTCTGGTCCCTGTCTGAGCCCGTTCCCCCATTTCTGCAATGAGGATACCACCAGCAGCCCGCCTGCAGGTTGGAGGTGGGGGATGTCAGGGAAAGGGTAGGTTGATTACAGGTGGATGGTTACAGGCGATAAACTGTTGGGATATGGGCTAGTGGCCCGCTTCGTTTCGGTTGCTACCTTTTCCTGGTGAATTAGGTGGAGATGTGCATTCAGATCATCAAGTCTGCACTCACCAACCGGAACGACTTGGCCGGTCTCCCAGTAGCTTGCCCTGTCCGCCGTCTCTTCTGTCTTGTAGACTAGCATCCTGCTCTTCACCAAGTTAACATCTGTCCACTTTCTAGCCCGGGGGTCAGCAAACTATTAAGATGGAAGAGCCGATCCTGTCCCTCACAACAATCTAGAAATTTTTCCAAAGCCACAAATGTATTTTTACAAACAAATGAAATCGCCGTAATCCGAATAATATCCTCTACAATTTTTTCAGTTTGACCTCAGAGTCACATGCACATACCGAAGCTTAGCCCATGATGATTCCAGAGCTAGTTTGCCGACCCCTGGTCTGGCCTCTTGCTTCCCCTTCGCTCCCTTTCCCTCCACACCTGGCAGTCATCAGTCTACTTCTCTTGATATGAAAACCCCGGTCTTGATTTTTCCTTTATGACAGGGTCTCATACAATACTTGCCCTTTTGTGATTGGCTCATTTTCCTCAGCACGATGTTCTCCAAGCACCATGCCATGTGAAGTGTGGTAGTTATATAATCGAGAGGATTAAGAGTGAATGGGGTAGAGTGTAGCCTGTCAATAAGGTCATGGCCTCTGTGTGGGCATGGCCTTCTCCTGGGGATTCTGGGAACTCCGATATTAGACACACTCTCTGCTCACTCCTGGATAGACTCTTTACTGACAAGACACATGGGGCTATGCTGATGGCAGTGAGAGCCCTGGAACTGGAGGAGCCAAGTGGAGACACACCAGCACTGAGATGCTTCCACACCACTGGATCCACAAAACTTCCCACCCACTGGCCTGTGATCTTCCTGCATTCATCATCATTGCATGTGTTTCGTGAGTCTGAAGAGGACTTTATAGACTGGTATTGGACGTATAGGCTAATATCGGACTTATGGACTTGATCTGGACTGGGCTAGGATGTTTTCTCAATATTCAATTGCTCTTGTATATAAAGCTTTTTCTTATTCACATCTGAGGGTCCCTGGATTTGTTTCTCTAGTCTACCTGGACTCACACAGAAGCTTCATAGTTTCATCCTTCTTCTTTAGTGATGCATAGTATTCCATGGTGTGTACATACCAAAGCTCACTGGTATGCATGTGGATGAGACTCACCCAGCCCAAGCCTGGCAACATCCAGCCTCCTCACTGTCCCTAAAGGCCTCAGGTGTGGAGGGGAGCCTGGGAATCAAGACCAGGCAGCACAGAATCCACGTGGCCTGTCTCTTACCTCTTGCCCCTCCCTGCACTAAGCCCAGGGCTGCAGCTCAGCCTTTCTCCTCGAACCTCCACTGGGCCCCAGAGGGATCCGGCAGAGTCTTCTGGGATCATGGTTGGACTGAAGCCTTCAGAGGTGCCTCCTACAACGGCTGTGAAGTTCCTGGGGGCGGGCACAGCAGCCTGTTTTGCTGACCTCCTCACCTTTCCACTGGACACAGCCAAGGTCCGCCTGCAGGTAAGTGCTGTTTGACCCAGGGTCATGGTTCACACCAAAGGAGGGTCTGCATTTTCCCCACACCTCTCCCCAATACGCTCTTCCGAATCCTGGCCAAGCCCTTCGCTTCACTGCCTCGCCTCCTCATCCCCACAGCCACGCCCATCCCCATGGCCTAGGTTAGAAAATATCTAAATTCCTTGGCTCAGTGTGGCTGCCCGGACTCTGGAAGCCACGAGTGTGAGATGAAGATAAGGAACTGCCTGTGACCTTGAGAAAGGCACTGACCCTTTTGTAAATGGGAAAATGGCCTGCCCCTCTGACCAGCTCTGAGGATCAGACGCCTACCAGGCGGGCATACTGTTGCTCGGGAAATGTCGCGCACACATTAGTCATGTGTGCTGCGGTGTCATGTCTATGACCAGCATGCATGTTCTTCTCAAGGTTCATCCCCAGCAGTCTCAGACCCCACCGGGCTGCTCTGCTCCCCTTGCTGCCCCTTGCTGCCCCAGCCCAGCCCAGCTCCTCACACCGTGCTGTGGTTGTCCCTCAGATCCAGGGGGAGAACCAGGGGCCACGGGCGGCCCGAAGCTTGCAGTACCGTGGCGTGCTGGGCACTATCCTGACCATGGTGCGCACGGAGGGCCCCCGCAGCCCCTACAACGGGCTGGTTGCGGGCCTACAGCGCCAGATGAGCTTTGCCTCCATCCGCATCGGCCTCTACGACTCTGTCAAGCAGTTCTACACCCCTAAAGGATCAGAGCGTGAGTGTCTGGGTACCACCTGGACTGGGCAGAAGCAGATACTCCACAAGAGGGCCCGAGCTGGGGGTGCAGGAAGCTGGTAGCCCACCCCATCCTCTCCCTCTCCACCAACCCAGACTCCAGCATCACCATCCGGATTTTGGCGGGCTGCACCACAGGAGCCATGGCAGTGACCTGCGCCCAGCCCACGGATGTAGTCAAGGTCCGGTTTCAGGCCAGCATGCACCTGGGGCCTGGGAGTGATAGGAAATACCGTGGGACCATGGATGCCTACAAAACCATCGCCAAGGAGGAAGGCATCAGGGGCCTGTGGAAGGGTAGGTCTGGGCTCTGGGCTGGGGGCTGGGGGGCAAAGTGGGCACAGGAATAGGGCAAGGAGGGGTGGTTCCAGCCTGTGCTACTGCATTGATTCTGAAAGAATATTCCAGCCCAACCTACCTCAGCCACTTGCCACAGTGTTTAAAATTCAGTTCACTTTACCAACCCCTGGCCACGCAGAGGCTGCCCTGAAGGAGTACGAAATGAATACAAGCTACCTTCCACACCCTCAAGGTTCTTTAGCCACCCTGAGGGGCTAAGACCTACCGAAACAGCCATGTCACAAGGCAGGATGTGCTCGGTGTCCTGCCCAGAGGGGCAAGAAGATGACATGTCAGTTGGGCCTCAAAGGCTAAGCAGGCGCCAGAGATGTGGACCTGGGTCGAGCCTTCCCAGAAACCATCTGAGAGGGGCAACTGCAGGACACAGAGGAGAAACACAGGAAGAGGGTAGTGGTGAGGACTGGGGTGGGGGTTGGGGGCGGGGGGAGGTGTGTGCAGGGAGAGGTGGGGAGAAGAGAGCTTTCTTAGGAGCAGAGGTTTAAGATCCCCTCTCTGACTATACATTGGTGACCTCAGCACATGCTGGGCTCTCTGCCACATGAGGGCCATGAATCCTTGCAGAAGAAACCATGACCCAGTCAAGTTGTTCAAGACCACACCATTTGAAAGAGCAAGCGCCTGGGCACAGCCCTGGCTCTACACTCATTTGATGCAGCCCTCGGGGAACCTGGTTTCTCACGTGGGAAATAAGGAGGTGGATTGTCTCAAGGATCCAGACTCCTCTTCCAAAGACAGATTTCTTGTTCGGACTCCAGCTGGGTCTTGGAGGAGAAGCATATTTTACTTTTGAAAGCTGTCGCTGATTATCTTTCAAAATATGACCCAAACACACACACACACACACACACACAGGCCTCTATTTTCTGTCTTGGTGAGGACATGGGGACTGTGAGGGTTGTAAAACAGTGTGAAGAAAGTTGTAGAATCTGCTCAGCTGCCATGGGATCATCTGGCTAAGGCCACGGGAGTAGGGTGCCAGGTCACCCCCAAACGGAGGGGGTGACGGGAGAAATGACTATGGACAAGTTATCCACTTCTCCCATCCCCATTCATTGGCCCCCCTCTCTACTGCCTAACAGGAACTTTGCCAAACATCACAAGGAATGCCATTGTCAACTGTGCTGAGATGGTGACCTATGACATCATCAAGGAGAAGCTGCTAGACTATCACCTGATGACTGGTGAGGCCGTGGGTCCCAGGTTGACTGCCCTCCCACAGCAGCCTGCTGGGGACACAGTAGGGTGAGAACCTAGAAAGCCAGATAAGAGAGCACCTGAAGGGAGCTGGGCTGCAGAAGGAGTAGAGCGAGGACTGGTGTCCAGTAAAGAGATGGGCACAAAAGAACCCTGAAGACCAGGGTTCCAGCTCCAGCTCCACCTCTTCCTGTGTAACCTTGAACTCAAGGTCACTCTATGACTTCAGGTTCCATACCAGTCAAATGCAGCTACACTTCTTATCTCTCCAATTCTGAGACACTGGCAGTTCTATTTTGCCAGTATTTGCCATGAGCTCCGAGTCTTGAGGTGACTCAAAGTTTAACAAGCTGGACTGCTAACAGAAAGGTTGAAGGTTTAACTCTACCAAGAGTGCCTCAGAAAAGAAGCCCCGGTCCTCTACTGAAAATCTTAGCCGTGGGAACCCCGGCTGACAACACACGGGTTCACCGTGAGTCAGAATCAACAGCAATGGGAGGCTTTTTTCTTAAAAATAGCTGAGCCCGTCCAGTCAGGGTACAGTGTAGCAACGATGAAACATACAACTTTCCTCAAGTTCTTTAATGCTTCCTCCCCACCACTATCATGATCCCAATTCTACCTTACAAATCCGGCTAGACCAGAGGATGTACACTGGTACAGATAGGAACTGGAAACACAGAGAATCCAGGACAGATGATCCCATCAGGACCAGTGCTGAGAGTAGCAATACCGGGAGGGTAGCGGGAAGGTGGGGTAGAAAGGGGGAATGGATTACAAGGATCTACATAAAACCTCCTCCATGTGGGATGGACAACAGAAAAGTGGGTGAAGGGAGACGTCAGACAGTGAAAGATAGGACAAAATAATAATTTATAAATTATCAAGAGTTTATGAGAAAAGGCAGGGGGGAAGGGGAAAAATGATGAGCTAATACCAAGGGCTCAAGTAGAAATGAGAATGATGATGGCAACAAATGTACAAATGTGCCTGACACAATGGATGTATGTATGGATTGTAATAAGTTGTATGAGCCCCAATAAAATGATTTTTTTAAAAAGAGCTGAGCCCTGGGCAGGTGAGAGATCTACGGAATCCACCCTTATGCTCCAAGCATTCGCTGCTTGTCCTCAAGGAGCTGGGGACAAGCAATGAGCACGTATGGAACAAAGCATGTGTGTGCCCTGTTCCACAGCCTGGTGTTTGCTCTTCCTTCCTGTCTACAGACAACTTCCCCTGCCACTTTGTCTCTGCTTTTGGAGCTGGCTTCTGTGCCACCGTGGTGGCCTCCCCAGTGGATGTGGTGAAGACCCGGTATATGAATTCACCCCAAGGATGCTACCGTAGCCCAGTGGACTGTATGCTGAAGATGGTGGCTCAGGAGGGCCCCACAGCCTTCTATAAGGGGTGAGCCTCCTCCTCTGCCTCCACATTCTCTCCCAGAGAAGCCAGGGGAACTGGCTTCTCCTTTCCTTCTTTTTTCAAGTATCTGCTATGGGTCAATCACTGTGTTAGACAGGATTCTCTAGAGAGATAAAATCAAATTACTGATAATTTAATATCTTTATAAAGATAATTAGATATACAACGAGAAATGAACTGTTAAATCATATACAGATAAATATATAATACAAGAAATAAACAGTTAAATTAGAAAGCACTACAAATGGCTTAGTGCAACTCAAGTCTGTGAGAGAAAGTTGAGAGACTAGCAGTCCTTCAAGTCTCTGTCTGATGCCAGATCTTCCTCTATTTGTAGAGAGAGCTAGGCTATGTCACCACAGCAGCCAATCACAAGGCAGGTCACCAACTGCCAATCCCCAGCTCCAGAGAAGTCTTAAAGGGAACTCAACTTACAGCAACACAGTCCACAGGCTAGGTGTCCCACAGGTAGTGTAGCCTTTAAATTGAGGCACAGAACAAGCAAGGCAGCCGCACACTGGTCCGATGATCACAGAATGAGAGATAAGAAAGGCAAGGCTCACCAAGCCATTTATCTCTCTGCCCTTCAGTTAATCCCACTTGTGTTTATCAGCCAGGCTGGCACAATAAACTATCTCAATCACAGATACAGAGGGGGAAAGCAAGGATGTAAATGCACAAAGGAAACACCTATAGAAGTTAAACAAGCCAAACAGAGTGGCCCAAACCTGATTCGGAGAGGCCAGGAAGGCTGAAAAGAAGGAGTTTGTTGTGGTTAGTTGCTACTGAGTCAGTTCCCACACATTGATCAATGTGTGATCAATGTCTGCAGAGTAGCGAGCCTGAGACCATCCAGTCCACTACCATGACCATAGGCATGACCAACAAGGAGCTGAAATGCCCTGCTCACTACTCCAATATGCCTGAAGGGTACTTGCTTCCATGTCTTTACATTTACGGTTCCCTTTGCCTAGAATGCCTTTCCTTTGCCAACCACGGGCCCTGAATTTTAGCCCTCCTTCACGACTAGTGCAAATACTACCTCCTCTTTGATACTCTTAGTGACAAAGTTTCCCTCTTCCCTGTGAACTTCAACCAGCAGCACCTTGATACCATTTGTATGGCATTTACCACCTCCTACGTTATATGAGTCTTGGTGGTAGTGGGTTAAGTGTTGGGCTGCTAGCCACAAGGCCTACAGTTCAAGCCCACTAGCTGCTCCATAGGGGAAAGATGAGGCTGCTGCTCCTGTGAAGTCCACTGAAGCAGTTCTACTTTGCCCTAGAGGTTCACTAGGAGTCCAAGTCGACTCTGTGGCAGGAGGTTAGTTGGAGCACTGGGCGTGGCGTTTTAAAGCACTCAGATGACTGTAATGTCAGTGGTGTGAATCCACCTTTCCCTCTGTGGGAGAAATATGTATCTGTCTGCTTCTGTAAAGATTTGCAACCTTAGGAACCCTATGGGACACTCTGTTCAATAGAGTCACTATGAGTCTGAATCAACTTGAGAGCAGTGGGCCTTTTTACCTCGTTTTACAAGTTAGGTGAGATAAAATTATTCCCTTGTGAGAGCAAAACTCCCTGAAGGCAGGAAACGGTGGCGTACGCACCTTTCATCTCCCAGAGTCCCTAGCACAAAGCCAACACTCAGTAATGTTGGTGTGTTAGACAGGGTGCTCAAGAGAAACAAAACCAGAATGCTAATAATTTTTTTATATATTTAGATAGATAACATAAGAAATAAACAGTTAATTAAATTATAAAGCAGTACCAATGGCTCAGTGCAACTCACTTCAATGAGATAGTTGTGAGACACTAGCAGTCCTTCAAGTCTTGAGGACCACCAGGTAGAGCAACTCAGGCCATCCGGGCACAGGCAGCAAACAGCAAGGCAGGTCACCAACAATCAGCCAGATGACAGGGTCCAACAGCCCCCAGCTCGAGATGTAAATTCCAATAGTGTGGCAAAGCAAGTCTTGAAGGAACCTCAAATTACAGCAACACAGTCCATGGGTTAGATGTCCCACAAGTAGTGTAGCTTGCAAATTGAGGCAAAGAACAAGCAAGGCAGCCGCACACTGGTCCGATCAACAAAGAGCAAGAGACAAGAAAGACGAGGCTCGCTGAGCCATTTATCTCTCCGCACTTCAATTAATCCCACATGTGTTCATTGGCCATGTTGGCACAATAAACGTTAACTATCTCAGTAGGTGAATAATAATCCTCATCTTGATAACTGAATCGGTATGCTTTAGGCCTTGTGCTAAGCAGTTTATACATATTATGTTAACATCCTGAACTGTGTAGTACCCTTCACATTTTAGGGGGACAGACTGTGAGAAGTTAGGAAACCTGTCCAAAATTACACTGTTGAAATAGTACCAGAGTCATGACTCAAACCCAGACACTAGTTCATTCTCAGGACAGTTCTATAAAGAAGCCGTTGTTCACACGACATGTTATTATCTGGCCAACAGTAAACACTTTAGCTGACCCTCTTGCCTCCCTCTGATGCCTTCAGCAGATCACTTTCTGGATCCTGATGTTAATTGGACCCAACCAGCAAATAGCAACCACCATCTCAAGAGTAAACTCTTGAGAAGGAGCCCTGGTGGCGCAGAGGTGGTGAGTTGGGCTCCAATCCCTAAGGTCAGCAGTTTGAAACCGCCAGCCACTCTGCAGGAGAACGACTGGGCTTTCTGTTCCCATACAGAGTTAACGGTCTGGGGAACGCACAGGGAACCACCCTGTCCTATAGGGTCACTATGAGTCAGCACTGACTCTATGGCAGTGAGTTTGGTTTGGTAAGCTCTGGAGCAAGGGGATGGCATTATAAAATGGTATTTCAACTGGCCAGCTGTTCCTTTCCTGTATGTGCTGCTAGCTTTAGTCTTCCTTTGATCTACCATCTCAATTCATTCTTTCACTCACCAGACACCACTGAGCATCTGGATGCGCCAGGCGCAGAGCTATACTGCCCTCAAGGAGCAGCCAAGAAATATATATGACATTTCTTGAGCATTTACTGATCCTGGCCCTCTGCACATGTGTGCTTTACTACATACCTCATTTTACCCTCCTGACCACTTCATGAGGTACCACTTTCCTCATTTTTAAACCAAGGTTCCGAAAGATTGAGTTACATGGCCAAGGCCTACAGCTAGAAACAGGTAGAGCTGGGGTCTGGATGCAGAGTTTACCCTGTCTACCGCCAGGCCGTCCTCCTTAGGAGGGGCATAGACTGGACTCAAGAAGAACATGGGCCTAGGTGGCGGTGCCTGAGCTGAGTCCCACAGGGCAAAGGGCACCTTGCCAGGGGCAGAAGTGAGTGTGGGGCATGCCAAGCAGAGGAAGCAACATGAGCAAATGCATGGCAGTACGCAGGCTCAGCATCACCAGAGAACTGTACCAGGAGATGGGGTTCCGAGGGGGTTGGCAGAGAGGGAGGCTGAAGAGGAAGCCAACGAGGAAGTCAAAAGACTCCCTGAGTCTGTGAAGCACAGCTGAGGCAGGGGACTCTCTCAGAAACACATCTGTTGGTGGCACAGGCAGGACTCTCTCTGGAGAGTCACTAGATTTGGTGCCACACTGTGAAACTCCTGTGGGTGCCAACCCTGGGTTGAGCTCCAGCTTCTAAAGGGTGTCCTGGCAAGGAGCCTCCTTGGCACTGACCATGCAGACTAAGTGAACTCAGCAGCAGGGAAGGCGGGCCATCTCTGAGGTGTACCCGTCCTGTGATTGCACCTGAGTCACGCGGCGTGCCTGTGCCCCGGTTTCTGAAAAGGGCACCTGGCAACTCTAACAGTCACCTTGGAGAAGTATCGTGAGAATTAACTGGGGCAATATGTGTGAAACTCGCTGACAACATGTTCAAGATGCATGTTTTCTTTGTCCTTTTCTGACTCTCACGTCTGCCTAAATTACAACAGTGGAGATGGTAAACTCTGCCTGCTCCTGACTGACGGGGACTCTAGTCCCGAGGACTCTTGGTCCTGTGTCTGATGCTGTGTTTGGGGGACAAGCATGCGAAGTGATGGAGTTTCGGACTCTTAGTCTAGTCCACCTGATGTTTTGCCTGTTTATTTTATCAGATTTGTGCCTTCCTTTCTGCGGCTGGGAGCCTGGAACGTGATGATGTTTGTAACCTATGAACAGCTGAAACGGGCCTTGATGAAAGTCCAGATATTACGGGAATCTTCATTTTGAATAAGACCAGAAGGCCGAAAGATGGACTCCAACAGTCAACCCATGCCCACGTGGGCACAGACTCGCCACCCATGTTTACAGAACTGTATACTTGCTGTAGGACTCCCAGAGGTAGGGGAGAAGGAAAGATTCCTATTTAGCACTTTGTCTTAAAGACACTTAATTTTGCGCTGGCAAGATGGAAAAGTGAATTATATTAATTTTATAAACCCATTAGGTTGGATGCCTAACATTTAGGCAAGAGAAAATAAACCCAAATAGATCCACATGGATCAAATGGAAGTTTTCAATAAAACTGAGGTTTGTAAGCTTGTGTCCCCTGAACACCTGATTAGATAATGAAGCACAAACAGGGAAGACTGCAAGCCTGGGACAAGAGTGGCCCACAATTCAGGCGGACATCAGCCCACATGTCTAAAACACAAAAAGGCCACACAAAGTGTAGGAAGCACAGCCTTGGGGTAAGCGCGGATCTTCGCCCGTTTGTAACTTGCCTGCCACGCAGAAAACCTGAGGGGGGAAGAAGAGGAAACCTTTGACCGGTGCCAAACGAGTGGATGCCAGGCCAATGCAAAGCTGAGCCTTGTAACTATTCGCAGGAGACACTGGACAACGAAGAGAGACCCTTGTTCCCTGTCCTCTCCAAAGGGGAATCATTCGGTCCCTAACTCACTCACAGAGGGGTGAGGAGGATCAAGTGAGAAGCTGGATGAGAAAGCGCATTATGAGCGCGGTACAAACGTCAATGGAAGGACAAGGCCAGGGGAAAGAGAACTGCCACAGAAGTCTTAGAGAGATGCACTTGTATAGCCTTGAGACCAAAGGAATCCGGGACATGGTGACAGGTGGGAGGGAGGAGAGAGGGAAGGTGACAGGATGAAATGAAGCCACATGAGTTCTGTCTCCAGACAGCCCCCACTCCCTGCTGGACCTAGAAGGGCTGGGGAGCTTGCAGGGAATGGAGGCAGAGGTACATGGTGGCCCAATGATCTAAAGTAGCTGGACTCGGAATTTTTAGAAAATAATTTTGATTCAATAAAGGAATTAATGCTTCTTTTCTGCCGTCTCATTTTTGGACAGCATTTTCCCTTTTCACTCCCTACTTGTCAGATTGAGGCTTGGTCCGGTCAGCAGGCGAGCTGACCTCACGAGCCGACACTTCCCTCTGCGCTCTAGTCCAGTGACTTCGGACTAGTTGCCAAGCATTTTAGGGCTTCAGCTACTCCATCGGTAAGAGCAGGGTGTGATCCCAACGGCCCAACGCTCGAAGGTTTTATGATTGGAAGGACCAGGAGAGGGCGTCCTCCAAGCCACAGCCTTCTGCCAGCAGGAAGCAACTCCTGGGAAGGTCACATCACCAGCTGAGGCCCCCGAGGAGGTGCGTTAGAGCACCTGTGGGGAGCTGTCAGGAGACTCTTGGCAAACTACCTGCCTCCTCATTCATCTCAATACCAAGCTCTTCTCCTTGCCTGCCTTCCCTCCTGTGGGAAGGAAACTTCTTAAAGATGATATTTCTAAAGTGATCACAAAAAAGGGCACAAGAGTGAGGGCAACACATTATTCCCCTGCAAACTTCAGACGGACCATCTTTCAAAGGGATCACAGAAACCCAGAATATCCATGTCTTTTTCTGCTGCTAGGCAGCCTTGCTATGGCAGAAACGCATTCACATCTCGCCCTCACCACTTGCGATCTTTATACCTCAGTACTGTCAGAAAAGCGGAAATGGTAAACCCGACCTCACAGGCTTGTTGTCAGGGGTTGATAACCTAATAGCACCGACTCAAACCAAACTCACTGCCCTGGAGTCAGTGCGGACCCATGCTCACCTCACTGACTAGGTACGCCACACCTATCAGGGAGTGTCAACCTGAGACTGTGGTTCTGTAGGAAGGTGCTGTGGACTTGGGAAAGAGACAGATACCATCCATACTCCAAAGCAGAATCTCTGATAGGTAAAAAAAAAAAATCTGCAATTGTTCGCTACAGATCAGTAAGTAAAAAAGTTTGTGCTTATCTTGCTTACGAGTGATCTGCCTGTTTGGAGGATCCTTGATCTCATAAAGCGTGTGAGAGACAGGCTCCTCCTCTCTCTTAATCCTCCACACCCTAGGAAAATGCAAATATCCATGCATCTTCAGCATTACCCAAATTATAATTTGAGATGATCTCAATAGACTCTATAATTCAAACTAAGGCAAAATATAAAAATTATTGTAATTTAATGTCTGCTTTGGCTGGACATATGGCTTTTAAATTCAATGCATAATATAAAAAATTATTTTTTGTGCTGACTTGACTGACATGTGCAAAAGGGGACCTGATATCACTGTGGGCTAGTCTTTACGTGCTAAACCACAAAGTGAAGAGTTCAAACACACCAGTTGCTTTTCATGAGAACGATGAGGTTGTTGGTTCCTGTAAAGATTTACAGTCTCAGAAACCCATATAGGATTGTTATGAGTCAGAATTGACTCTTGTAAGTTCCTAGAGGCCAGGAACTATACCTTCCACAAACTTCTATAAAGAAATAGTAACCCATCATCTACCCAGAGAGTGCTATCCAAATGATGATACTGAAAGAGATAGGGGATAAATTATTTTACAATATATTTTTATTGGGATCAGGAGCCTAGTGTCTTCAGCCTCCAGGCTTTGGGAGAGGGAAAAGGAAGTGTAGTGGGAGGAGATCGCGAACGAATGGCTCTCTGAGTTCTGCGCTTTCACCTGATCACCTTCCCCTCTCCTGACCTTTGAGCCACATCCCTCTCCCAACCACCCCCTGACCCAAGTAGATAGAGAGCTCATTCCTGTGCTGCCCTAGCCCCCAGTCCACCCCTGGGCAGAAAACAGAGCCCAACAAGCAGAGTAAACCTACTCCCAGGCCCCCACTCACCCACAATTCCCACTACATTCACCACCACGCCCACTCTGAGATCAACACTCCTGTTCCAGCACCATTGAACCAATGAAAGATGACAACCTACATCCATCTTCAGTCACCCTGCATAACAAACAGAGACCCTTGCTTGTGTGATCCAAAGTTGACAATTACAAAATTGAAATATGGCAAAGGGAAGAGTATCAGAGCTAAAATGATGAACACCTAATTGGTAGGAAGCTCTGGAGGACAGTGGGAGCCCAAAACCCACCTGCAGAGTCTCTGGTCAGATGAAGCCTCGGGCACATCCCCTCTAGCCACAAGCAAGAGTCTCCAACAACCTCACTTGGTTGCCTATGTGGTGGCCTTACTAGGTGCAAAAATCTCTTACTTGTTCCATGACAAAAATTTCTTCTCTGACTTTTAAAATGATTTTTTCTTTCTTACTTGTTATTTGTATTTTTGTCTTTATATTATTATTATGTTATCCTTACCACTTTTCTTCAATTTTGTTTTTTATTGTTTCTGTTGAGTTTCCCAGCTTGTGAAGCACAGAAGGAGTGGACGTGTAGTGATAATAACTGATGCAAGGGTTTATAGGGGATCTAGGGGTAGGGAATGGGTGACAGGGAGGATGATAAAGAGGATTTCAGGAGTAAACAAGGAAGGCAGGAGCGGGGAGGGGGGCACTAGAACTAATTGTGATCGCACAACTCATTTTAAAGGCAATTTAGCCATGGGAGGGGAATGATTGTACAATTCTTGAGATGATCCAATTCTTGAGTGCCAATAAAACTGCTGAGAAAAAAAGAGAGAGAACCTATGGACTAGGAAAAAAATTTTAGCAAAACATAACTGACAAGTGTGTAATCTCTAAGGTTTATAGAAAACATCAACATGTCAACAACAAAAAGGCAAATGGCCCAATTTAAAAATGGACAAAGGTCATGAACACGTTACCAAAGACACTGCTAGAGAAATGCAAATCAAAACTACAGTGAGCTCTCCCTGGCAAAAATAGCACTGATAACAAACAGAACAAAGATGCTGGAGAGGTCATGGAGAGATTGGAACTCTTCACACTGCTGGTGGAACTGCAAAATGCTCCAACTGACAGGCTAAGGGAAAGAGGGTTGTCTCTGCCGAATGCCTGTGCTAAACAAAAATTATCTGGCCAGGCCACAAATACAGGGTTTCCTGTAAAAATAAATGAGGTACACATTTATTTAAAACCCATTTGGGGGGGACCTATCTAGTGATGGACTCAAGGTCTGAACGTATTTGGTTAAAGAACCCAAAGCAAAGCTTGGGTGTGCAAACTAAAAACCTGCAACACTAGTCATACACGTAAAAGCATCCACTAAAAACCCACTGCTTCCCTCAACGACGCCCTCTAAGTGGGGATGAGAAGGGGTACAAGCAGAAGTGGGTCCCGGCTCTTTCTCTTTCACTTCCACTGCCCTACCTTTCGAGGCATTTTTAGGTGGTTCTCCACTGGAAACTCCACGTGGCTTTCGAAGCTCCCAGAAGGGTCCCATTTTTGGTCCCTGACTCTTGCTCGGCTCCCCGCTGGGCCCTATGTGCTTTCCAGAGACAGTGTGTACTATCTGAGGCTGAACTTCCCCAAACTTCCTTTTCACTCATAAAAGCTTATTTGGATTTACAATAGTGTTTCTGCTGTGAGAATTCTTGCAGCATAGGGAAGGCGAGAACCAGGGAAAACTACCCCAAAGCCTATCACAACCATAATGGAAAAGGTATGATGCTTCCTTAAAAGGTTAGGCATACCATATGATCCCTAATCCCACTCCTAAGTATATATGTTTGGGAAATAAGAGCCGTGACAGGATGACACATGCACACCCTCCTGTTCATTGCAGCATCATTCACAACAGCAAAACGGTGGAAACAAGCTGGATGAATGGATAAACAAACTGTGGAACACATATGGGAAACTGAGGCCTGGAAGAGAATTCTTTATTCTCATATCTAAGAAGCCTGGGAGGTCAAGGTTCTGGGTGGAGGGAGGTCTTCATAGATGTGAGTTAGAGATGAGTCCCAATCACATTCTCATAACTAAGATTAATCCCCACAATTTCCTCCCATAATAGTGCTACCCCAGAGTACTCTCACAAGCACAGGACTGTTAGCTATCAGCCAGCATGTTGCTATCGCTCTCCCTGCTTACTCTCCCTTACCTGCACCCAGCACTGGTGTTAGGTTATTCCCCCATGAACTCAGGGACCTCTAGGGTTAACGTACAGCCCACTTTGTTACCTATGAGGTTACCTGTAATTAGGAGGGCTTGCATGCCCCGAGGCTCAATCTAAGAATACATTCTCTCTCTCTACTGCCTGGACCTGGTTCCTGACACCAGGGAGATGAGCACCCTGAAACTTTTCTGTCTCTTCATTTCTTCCCTTCAATTATACAAACGTCCCTTAACACCCATCGGATGTGAGGCTGGATCCCACAACTACACAACAGTAGAGAATAGGGATGAAGAGTTGAACATTTCACAGTGTGGATGAATCTGGAAGATATGCTAAATGAAGCAAGCCAATCCCAAAAGGGCCAATGGTGTATACGATTACTTAGAAATAACCACAAATCATTCTTTGGTGATTACTAGGGAAGGGATTGGAGAAGTCAGAACAGTACAACCAAGGCAAAGGAAGACAATGAGAAATATGAAAGAAGGAAGGACAAGTACGCTCAATGCTGTAACAACCAATCCTGCAGCAGCAGTAGTAGTAAACAGTAACTTGTGAGTAGATTGGAGGTGAAGGCACTCATGGACATATATAGGTATGGTTTAGGATATTTCTCCATACATATTTGTAAATTCTGCATGTGTGTGAATATATATATATATATATATATATATATATATATATACACACACACAGAGGGCACAATATAGAAACTACTTAAGGCTCTGTGGCTGAATTACTGGACTTGAAAGCTAGGACCGTAGTTACATAGGACATCTAGGTCAATTAGCAAAACACAGTTACCTAGTTCATAATAATAATGCTGTACAGCCTAATCTGGTGAGAAGCATCTAGGGTCTTAAAAGCTTTCAAGTGGCATCTAAGAAGCAACCATTACTATCTTACCACCTAGAGCAAAGGAGAATGATGAAGACAAACTCAGAAAGGATGTAGTCCAAAGCA